TAGACCTACATTTTGGGTGTGTCATCGATTTAACTTAGACTTACATGGTGGGTGTGTCATCGATTTAACTTAGACCTACATGGTGGGTGTGTCATCGATTTAACTAAGACCTACATGTACATATAGGGTGTGTCGTCGATTTAACGTAGACCTACATTTTGAGTGTGTCATCGATTTAACTTAGACCTACATGGTGGGTGTGTCATCGATTTAACTTAGACCTACATAGCGGGTGTGTCGTCGATTTAACTTAGACCTACATGGTGGGTGTGGGGTGTGGCGTCGATTTAACTAAGACCTACATGTACATATAGGATGTGTCGTCGATTTAACGTAGACCTACATGGTGGGTGTGGGGTGTGGCGTCGATTTAATATGGTGGGTGTGTCATCGATTTAACTTAGACTTACATGTTGGGTGTGTCGGCGATTTAACTTAGACCTACATGGTGGGGGTGGGGTGTGGCGTCGATTTAACTAAGACCTACATGTACCTATAGGATGTGTCGTCGATTTAACGTAGACCTACATTTTGAGTGTGTCATCGATTTAACTTAGACCTACATGGCGGGTGTGCCGTCGATTTAACTCAGACCTACATGGTGGGTGTGTCGTCGATTTAACGTAGACCTCCATGGTGGGTGTGTCATCGATTAAGCAAAAGAATGTTACCCTTCTGAAACACATGGTATTTCCTTTGTAGGTATTATGTTCTAGTTTGATGTATTTTTAGATCGAATTATGGTTGTATTAACACTTTGATATTCCCTTGTGTTGTTTTAGATATAATGTTAAGAAATAACTTGGTATTTATTGTGAACCAATTGGGATTATAAAGATGAAACAAGAAACAACGAATAATACTAAAAATATGCATATATGTTATTTTCTTTTAATTTGTTAAAACGTTCTAATTTAGCAACTCTCATATAGGACTGAAGCTCAGTGATTCCCTTTCCCATTGTTCAATTGTTTGTGCCGTCTAAATCTCAGAATCTCGTATCTGTTCTATTCTTACGATTTCCGGACTCTCCGGATAATTCGTCCTCTGTTTCACATATTAGAAACACATGAAAACTTTCCGGCAGAAAAACGTACCAGCAACATCATGAAGCGTTAGGGCTGTCACAATATATCGGAAAGCAGGTATATCGCAAAACACGAGTATATCGTATCGTACCACAATACAGTGATGAAATATTGCTGTATCGCAATATTTTTCAAAAGCATATCTTTATGTACCTGCTTGGTGTTTAAACCTTTCAAATTACCACAAAATCTAACAGATATGTCAGTAAGCATAAAGCAGGCTTTTAATAGTTCAAATTTTGTAATCAGTTGTTGGTTGTGACACCCCTATGAAGCATGCTACCCAAAATTTCATTTACTGGCAAATGTTATAGGGTAATCATGAGTGATTTCATTATAAAAGACAATAAAAACTAGCAAACCATTCATCTATATGTGTTCTTTTTATTGCAAAAATGTAAAATATCCATTTGCTGTACAGACATTTTACGCTTTTATTTTCATTTTAATTGTCACGTGGTTTGCTTGAGTATTTCAGTTTTCACTCTGTCTTATCGCAAGACAGTGACGTCATTTAATCAAAGACTACACCTACTTATTGATTGTTACTGCACACTTATTTTGGCCAATCAGCTGTAGCAAAGTAGTTCTTAAGATAAAGGTAGCAAAAGCCGCTGGTCTCCAAGATGAAAATTTACAAAAATAAATTAAAAGGGAAAGAAACACTGTGAAATGAGATGTACACATGTATACTTTCACTTCAAAGTTTTAGCTTGAATGGTTCCCATTTTAAAAAGTTAGCATGTTTCCTTCCAATCTTTTTATCGTATCCGAAGATAGAAAAATCTGGATGGAAAATGGAATTGAATCGCTTAAGATCTGACGACGACACAAATTTGTAAGCATTAACAATCGCTTGTTCCCTTGACAACCGCTTATCCGCTTTAGTCATTGGCCACCGTTTGATTTCTTTAGCAATGACATCTTGAAATTGAGATTTGCTTATGTTTGAATTGTGCTTTATCACGTTGTAAGGGAAATCGGCCAACTGACTCAAGACCCCTCTTATTTGTAAAACCTTCCAAGCACGTTCTAGCGCTTGAGGAAGAGAGGTACACTTTGGTCTGTGTGATACCACTTCGTATGCTCTGCTGACCGTCAAAGATATAGCCTCCTTTTCGTTTCCTTGATCCATTCTAGAAATGTCCACAATTTCATGTAAGTTTTGACTTCTTAGAAAATTTCCAAGATCCTCTTTGAATGATTCGATTTTCCCGATGACATCATACTGAATGTTACACGGACGACAGGCATCATACATCGGATACCAGTGAGGGTTCCTGTGAAGACCGGAAGTTTCTGATTCGATTACGTGTTTGATAAACTCGGAAAAAGTACTGTCGTGGCCACACTCTTTGGATTTTTTCGAGAGATTTTTCCGATGATTTTTTAAGATGACTTTACCAGTAGTGTCCCAGAATACGTGGTTATTAGTGAAGAGTTTGTCGACATATCCTGAGAGCATCCTTGTGTAAGGGTTTCGGACAAATATGAACTTTGTGGAACGCATCAGCACCGCCAGAGCCTTGTCATAAGGAACGGTCTCAAATGTGTTAAATGGTATAAGGTGAGCGGCATTTGCCTTTATACTGAATGGATCCTTCTTGTGCTTATGTCCCGACAGAATATGAAGAACTTGTTTCAGGAAGGTTGACCCGACTTTTGGTATATCACAGAACACAAGCTTAGTTTTATCATCGTAAATCATATGCTTTTTCAATAAATTTTCTGGTAGGGTTCCAGTGTAGTTTGTTCCTAAAGAAAGACATTCTGTTAGCATTGTTCTCCTACGTTGACTTTGAACGGAATCGACGAAAGTATTTTTTAACAGTTTAGGCTCCTGTAACGAGAAAGTAAAATATTGCATTATGCATATATAATAATAATAGTAATAATAATATACAACATTTGATATAGCGACCTATCTAGCTAGAATAGGCCACTCCAAGGCGCGTTACAGTATATAGGCATATAATTTATACAATCAATACAATTAGCATATACATTAGTCAATACAATTTTGAGGCATTCGCGGGAGTTGCCTTATCGGGCGCTAACTACTTTCTGAATGTAGTGCTGAATAAATATATACTTACTTTTATATACTTTTTTTTATACTTTTGTATGTTTACCATATGAATTGTCTATATAAACGGTTTTGATACTAACATTTTTCTCACTCCTTTCATAACCTCATCGTGAAAAATATCATAACAACTATCATGTGCGATACCATCTTATGTTGTTACCTCCCTTGGTATAAGCCAATGGAATTGCTTATATTCAGCCATATGGCTTGATATCATAAGCCTTATGATAAGGTTCTAGTAGAAGCCTAATGATAAAAGCCGGTAACATATAACTTACCTGTATTAATTATCAGTTAGATTGTAGGAGGAATTCAATATAAGATATAAATTACGTATGTTTTTCTGTCGTTACCCTGTAATGTGATGCATTTTGAAAACTGTATCTGATAATACTTCTATACAATTGCACTGCAACTTACTATACGAGCATAACGAGGAGAATGCATTTCGTTAGACCATAAACTCAATAAAATCGGTGCAATTTTGTTGCTGTTCCTCTTGTCTCGTCAACAATTTGAAAAGTCCCTTTAAGAGCGAATATATGTTGAAGTTGGAACTTGTATTTCTTTAGTAAGACATGTTTTGTGAAGCGTTTTCTTGTATACACTGTGTTTCTACGTCACATAACCTAAATATTGATAATTAATCCTTGACTAGACATGTTGGGAAAAAAAACATAAAAAAATCACCGTTTGTGCGGTGTTTTCAGTGCCGGTACTGCCCCCTGTACACCGACAGCTAGCGGAGTCTTGCATCTTTTCGGAAAGGGGCTTCTGAATTGCAGCTGTCGAAGAAAAATAAACCTATTACAATCAAATGTGTTACACGTGTGAGCTGTATTGATGATACATAATGTATAAAGGAGAGTACCGTATTGTGAAATAAAGGGCTGAAGAGAGCAGCGGGTTAGTTATTATGAATTCTTTATTCGAATAACTAAACCACTTCCACCAGCGAATAAACGATTGCGGATTCGTTATTCAAGATTTTGACTAACAATTCTAATCTGTTTGAGAGAAAAAAAGACATTTTAACCACCAATATGTTGATTATTGCAAGTTACTCCTTGCGAATTTGCGAATTGAAGAAATAAACTTCTGCCAGTGGTGTATTCGTTATTCAACTTCTGACATATTACTACTTATGTTATTGATAAACTAATTTCTATCTACCAACCACAGGATAATTACTGGTAGTTAAGGATGTAAATGGGGGATTGGAATAACTAAACTGCTGCCAGCACCCAGTAAGTGATTCGAATAACTAAACAGAATAAATTTCTTTTATGGAAAAATACCAGTAAGAAACCATACGCAAGACTGGTAATAGTTACAGAAAATGTCCCATTATATTGTTATGACCACCGAGTGACTTGGTAGGCATATACTGTTCAATCTTTTCCGTCTTATCAATATACATATACTATATAAAAACAAATACAAAGAGTTTCTTAGTACCTCCATAGCGCTAGGGAGGTACTACGAAACTCTTTGTGTTTTTTATATATTTTTTTAAATATTTAACCACCTCAAAGACTTTGAAAGTTTTTTCTGACATACATCTACTACATACATAAAAACATTGTATTATTTTCGTAATGTTTGTTCTTATTGCTCTTTTTATTTTCATTCTTACAACCACAGATCTTGTAAACATTCCAGAACGGAAACAGTTATGACGTTTATATTTGAGTACATTTTTGTATGTAACAGAAGACATAGAGCTCCATCACCGAAACAAAGATTATATCATGATGTCAAATGTCAGTGTCACAAATCGATAAACGGAACATTGTTTTACTTTTTGTTTCAAATGACCATACCGTTCGTCATACTCTATGCATGTTTAAACAGAGTATAGTCCTCTTTATCAGTTCTCGACGCTTCAGTAAAGAAAACGATAACTCGGGGTTACAGTGCCCCACTCTAACAAGCCTCATGCAGTGAAATATCCTTATTAAACACACACTATCAAAGTATCAAACAATCAAGTCCTGTGACCCAAATTAATGAAAGAACTTAGCTTCCAATATTATTTAAGAGTCTGTTTTAGGACTGCAAGTAATATACTCACTTGGCGAGATGTCATGGTGCTCGGCCGAAAGGTTAAGGTTAGCTTCCGGCATTGTTTGAGAGTCTGCTTTAGGACTGCAAGTAATATACTTACTTGGCAAGATGTCATGGTGCTCGGCCGAAAGGTTAAGGTTAGCTTCCGGCATTGTTTGAGAGTCTGCTTTAGGACTGCAAGTAATATACTTACATGGCAAGATGTCATGGTACTCGACCGAAAGGTTACGGTTAGCTTCCAACATTGTTTCAGAGTCTGTTTTAAGACTGCAAGTAATAAACTCACTTGGCAAGATGTCATGGTGCTCTGCCGAAAGGTAAAGGTTAGCTTCCAATATTGTTTAAGAGCCTGTTTTAGGACTGCAAGTAATATACTAACTTGGCAAGCTGTCATGGTGCTCGGCCGAAAGGTTAGCTTCCGGTATTGTTTGAGAGACTGCTTTAGGACTGCAAGTAATATACTTACTTGGCAAGATGTCATGGTGCTCGGCCGAAAGGTAAAGGTTAGCTTCCAATATTGTTTAAGAGCCTGTTTTAGGACTGGAAGTAATATACTTACTTGGCAAGCTGTCATGGTGCTCGGCAGAAAGGTTAGCTTCCGGTATTATTTTAGAGTCTGCTTTAGGACTGCAAGTAATATACTTACTTGGCAACATGTCATGGTGCTCGGCCGAAAGGTTAAGGTTAGCTTTCAATATTGTTTGAGAGTCTGTTTTAGGACTGCAAGTAAGATACTCACTTGGCAAGATGTCATGGTGCTCTGCCGAAAGGAAAAGGTTAGCTTCCAATATTGTTTAAGAGCCTGTTTTAGGACTGCAAGTAATATACTTACTTGGCAAGCTGTCATGGTGCTCGGCAGAAAGGTTAGCTTCCGGTATTGTTTGAGAGTCTGCTTAAGGGCTGAAAGTAATATACTTACTTGGCAAGATGTCATGGTGCTCGGCCGAAAGGTTAAGGTTAGCTTCCGGTATTGTTTGAGAGTCTGCTTAAGGGCTGAAAGTAATATACTTACTTGGCAAGATGTCATGGTGCTCGGCCGAAAGGTAAAGGTTAGCTTCCATGATGATATCGAACTTATTTGGATAGAAGTGCATACTGGTAATCGCAGATTTTTATTAGGGTGTATATATAGACCCGAATCTAATGTAGAATACTGGACACAACTTGATATTTTATTGGATAAAGCTGTTGATACCTCACTAGACATAATTTTAACAGGTGACATAAATATTGATATGTTAAATCTACATCCTAACTCACATCTCAGCAGAATTCTTACTAAATATAATCTGAACAGTCTAATAAATGAACCGACAAGAATCACTCCTAATAGTTCAACCTCTATAGATATTGTCTTTACTAATAATACTAGAATCATTCAAAATGCATGTACAAGCCCTCAGTTCTGTAGTGATCACTCTCCTATACATATTACGGTCTCCTACTCTGTCTATAAACATCGGTGTTATAAAAAGACTATATTACTGTATGATAATGCAGATTTTGACCAAATGAACAGATCACTGAGAGATATCGACTGCATGACACATGCGCAAAATAGTACCTCAGAAGAATTTTACCAAATACTTACCAACAATATTAATCAACAAATAAATAACTATATTCCTTCAAAAATAATTACTATACGTCCAGATGATAAACCATGGGTAAATAATGAAATCAGATTAAAACTAAGACAAAAGAATAGGATCCATAGAAAAGCAAAATCAACTAATAGTCATTACCACTGGAATAAATATAGAAATATTAGAAACGAAACTATTGAAATCATAAGGAAAACGAAAAAGGATTATCTTGAAAAACTACAGGGAACTCTAAGTGATAAATCCTTACCCCCATCTAAATGGTGGAAAATAGCTAAGTCTATATCTAATTTTAATAATAAATCAACTAGCATTCCTCCTCTTGATCATAACGGTATATCTCTTCAACATCCTAAAGATAAAGCTAATACACTAAACGATTACTTTACCTCAATAGCAACATCCTCTCCTAATCTTGACCCACTGCCACCTATTGTAATTAACTATCCTTTCCAATTAGAAAGTATTGACATATCTGAACATGACGTAATCGACCAACTTGAACTACTAAATAATAATAAACCAGCAGGGCCTGATGGAATTATACCCAAAGTAATTAAAAAACTAACACCCTCAATATCATATCCACTAACATTACTATTTAACAAAACGATGGAACTTGGACATATCCCTGCTTCATGGAAACTTGCTAATGTTAATGCTATATATAAGGGAAAGGGGTCCCAAAATGATGCCAGTAATTATAGGCCAATCTCAATTACATCTTGCTTTAGTAAAATTATTGAAAAAATCATCTTTAAGTACCTGTATAACTATCTTGTAGCAGCTGAAACTATTTCTGAGCACCAGTCAGGCTTCCTGCCTGGTGACTCAACTGTGAATCAATTATTATCTATATATCACACTATTATAAATAATTTAGATAAAGGTAAAGAGGTAAGATTTGTCTTCTGTGATGTAAGTAAAGCCTTTGATAGGGTTTGGCATGACGGTTTAATATATAAATTAGAAACTTATGGAATTAAAGGAAAATTACTGGCATGGTTTAAGAACTACTTGTCCGAGAGAAAACAAAGGGTTATTACAGAAGGACACCAGTCAACTTTTAAATGTATCAGTGCAGGAGTGCCTCAGGGATCTGTCCTTGGTCCATTTCTCTTCCTTCTCTATATAAATGACATCACTAATATAGTTACTAGTAACATTAAACTTTTTGCAGATGATACCTCCCTCTATATTATTGTTGATGATAATCCCATTCAAGCAGCACAAAATCTCACTAATGACTTGCAGAATATATGTTCTTGGGCTAAATCTTGGGATATAAAATTTAATGCATCCAAAACTAAAACTATGATCTTCACACGGAAAAAAGAAACTAATCACCCTCCAATCTTCTTCTCTAATCAACCACTATCCGACAGTACTAACCATAAACATTTAGGTCTTACTTTTAATGAAGATGGTAAATGGGGTCAACATATCCAAAATATTTATGATACAGCATATAAAAGAATTAATATATTAAGAAGTCTTAAAACCTCACTTGATAGAAGTACACTTAACACTATGTATATATCTTATATTAGACCAATTTTAGAATATGCTAATGTAGTTTGGGATAATTGCACTGAACAATCAAAATTATTATTAGAATCAGTCCAACTAGATGCTGCTAGAGTAGTGACAGGGCTTCGTAGAGGTACATCACACCATAAATTGTACAAAGAATTGGGATGGGAAACCTTAGCAGATAGGAGGGAAAAAAATAAATTAATTGTAATGTATAAAATATTGCACAATATATCACCAAAGTACCTTAATGATATAGTTGATCCTTTTTTAAATGATTTAACAAATGTGAGATATCAGCTTAGACTAAATAGAGTTTTTAACCCCCCTGTATGCAGAACTGACAGCTACTTTAATAGTTTCTTTCCCTCAACCTTTCGACTTTACAATCAGTTAGACCCAGATATTTTAAATGCTCAATCTCTTCCTCACTTTAAGAAACTAATTAACATAACTAATAGTATACATAATAATGATACTCAGACAATGGTAAAAAATTCTGGTGATAGAAAAATCAATATTATACTATGTCAAATTAGAAATAATGCTAGCAACTTAAACTTTGATCTCTTTAATGACCATCTATTAGAATCTGCTTCATGTGTGTATGGTTATATACAGGAAACAAGTTATCATTACTTCTTTAACTGTGCCAGATACAACAATCACAGACAAGTACTCTCTGCTACTCTACTCAATGATAATCACTCGCACTATACTTTACATACTTTACTAAATGGTTTTAACCATTGTGACAATGAAACCAATAAAATATCCTAGAGAGTGTCTCAACCTTTATCTAGAACTCAAAAAGATTTATTAACTAGAATTATCTATATCAACTTATATTATAATGTACTATAAATAATCTAACATTGTAAACATGAACAGCAAACATGCTTATGGTTATAAATCTTATTAATCGCTTTCTATAAACACAGTGTGAATATGATATACTCACCCCTTAAACCAACATGGACTTGTGTTTTGTAATTAATAACAAATAGTTGTATAATTATATTTTCAATGTATTATAATGTGAATATTAATATACCATACAATATTGACATAGATTATTCACGATATTTAATTATATAAGCCTAATCTTCAACTACATGTATCTATGAGTCACTCTGTGTGGATTTTGAACTCCCAGGGATAATCTAGTCAAGGAATATGTCAAAAACCCACTCAATACACTGGTGAGGTCAAGAAGTAGCACAGCTTGACTTGTGACCTTTCATAAGCTGTTAGAGGTATCTCCCCTATACCATATGACTTGCATATTGATATCTGTTTTGTATATAAGTTGTCTCTTTTCAATTTTTCATTTCACTGATAAATTACAATATATTTATATGCTGATCTATACAAATGCATGTAGGAGAGAACTGATATAGGCATAGCCTGTTGTTCGATCCAATTCATACAACATCATGAATAAAATTTGTTGAAATGAAATAAAATGAAAGGTTAGCTTCCAATATTGTTTAAGAGTCTGCTTTAGGACTGCAAGTAATATACTTACTTGGCGAGATTTCATGGTGCTCGGCCGAAAGGTTAAGGTTAGCTTCCGGCTTTGTTTGAGAGTCGGCTTTAGGACTGCAAGTAATATACTTACTTGGCAAGATGTCATGGTGCTCGACCGAAAGGTTAAGGTTAGCTTCCGGTATTGTTTAAGAGTCTGTTTTAGGACTGCAAGTTATATACTTACTTGGCAAGATGTCATGGTGCTCGGCCGAAAGTTTAAGGTTAGGTTTCGGGATTGTTTGAGAATCTGCTTTAGGACTGCAAGTAATATACTTACTTGGCGAGATTTCATGGTGCTCGGCCGAAAGGTTAAGCATGCCTTGTAATACTAGTACCACTCCGGTGAAACAAATGAAGAGAAGAATCTTATCGGCAGACATCACGATAGGGTCATATAGATCAGCAGCTTGAGGGACTTAATTCTGGAGCTTTGCATATATACGTAGCAACATTTTACGAGAAATGAAGCACGCTTCGTGTCTTGTCTGCAAAAAAAAATGGAACACATTATATTAATTTCATAAGTGTAGAGAGTATTCACCTAAATTGATGATACGATATGGTTTCTAAGTGTTCAGAAACAGCGCATTTTCATTCTTTTTTGATTTGCTTGCATTAATTTCGATAAATAGGGATTACAAAATATTTGATTATTCAGGCAAACATCAAAATGCCTTTCGCAATGTCTTTTGCTTTGGGGGTTATCTGTGCCATTCGTAGAGAAAGTAAATGCCATAAAAGACTGTGCAATGCTTTGCGTGTTTTAGTATTTTATTTATCATATAAGTTAAAATCTGCTGAATAGTGCCACTCAACGTTTACGGAATCTTGTAGACCTCATAATTTAACATGCGTGTTCATGGGAAAGTAGCTACATGCATATCAGGTCGATTTTGTTTTCTTTACCGTTTATCTAAACACGTCTAACGGAGTTCTTGACTTGTTTCTTTTGATGATGTTAGTGTATACACTATTCTACGACGTAACAACACTTGTCATTGGTTAATAACCATATGTTATTGGACAATATACAATGTATCTAGTGCGTTTATGTTTCTTATCCACCTTGTAGTGCAACGCTCTTCGAAACATTTCCTCCACAAAAATAAATATGCAAGCCACGGGACTGGTTTCCTTCATCGAATGTGGGTTCACGCATGTTTGAAGAAATGCTAGCGAACAAACAAATCAATTTCTGTTTAATCTCTAGATCTCATTTAAAGGATTTTTGGCCAAGACTTTTTACGTTTTAATTTCAATGAGCTAACAGGTCTAGTGATACTTGTGACATCAAAGGAGCAGGTTCTGGTCACTGGTGAGCTACAGTTTATTATGTTGCATCTCTTTGGAGTCATATAATTGCAATGCAGTCTAATATAACAGTAGGGATCTAAACTTAGCTGATAAGACGCTTGTATTCCTCCTTCTTAATACCAAATGTAACGTTATCTTTCCACACATCAACGTCTAAAATGAAAGTTTCACCAAACAACTTGTTCATCTGAGTTGGATGTAGTATAAGAGCACGTAGACATGGAACACGTCTACAATGTACTGTCATTCAGTTTGATTTTGTAACAATCGCGAACGTTGATCACACGAAAACTAAAAACAAACACCGGCAGTCTAGTTTAACTGCATACCCACATGTGTACGTGAACAATCAATGTATGTCTAGTTTAAATCAAACTGTCACTGCACGAACAAATGAGAATAACATGATAGTTTAAAATATTTGTTTCGTTGAAATATTGCATAAGATGTCAGCTGAAATCGGAATACGAAAATAAAAGTGGCCATTCCCAAATTCATGATTTTTGTTCCACTTGCAATTACTACAAAGTAAAATGCAAGTCTTTTTGTGTGAAATAAGCAAATGTATGCTATGTTTGTCCTTTGTAACGGGTTTTTAGATATATAAAGAAAAACGTACAATTCTGAGACACTTTTTTCCTACACAAGTTAAAACAACATTGTTTTATATTCTTTCCATGATATTCAGAACAGAAACAGGTTCCAAAGTATCCACTCATCTCAGCTTCAAATTATAACTGAAATTCAAACTCGAAAAAAGAAAAAAATTCTTCCCCGCTCTTGTTGATGACATCAGTTCAACTAGGCTTCAAAGCATAGGTTTTGTTTGTTTTACAACAAAATGTTTATGAACAGGAAGTGGATTAGTTTGGATTTAATGGCAACCTCAATTGACAAGTATTCGATGAAATTGGAAGGTTTATTTTGAAAATGACGTGCAACAACTCATCACGAAATCTTGGACACGCCCCTGAAGATTAATTTTTGGTTCAAAACTTTGTTAAATAAATGTTCATGTTGATATTTTACACTATTCAGTAAATGTCATATCAGCACAACCATTACTAAAAAGATAATAAAACTTTAGAATTCAGAAATTTCATAAGAAAACTAGAATCGTATTGGATATCAAAGTTTTACTTTCTTAACAAATAATGTACGCATTAAACGTGTCGCAACGGTTCAAGACCGACTGGCCCCTTTGTCTAGCTATGACTCCAGCTTGAGTCATAGCTAGACAAAGGGGCCAGTCGGTCTTAAAACGTTGCGACACGTTTAATAGTACATTGTTTGTGTAGGAAGTAAAGTAAAACTTTGATATCACATATTTCCAAACTGATGAATTTTATTGAAGATATTAGAATCGTATATGATACACATACACTTTTACCGGGTTGCTAGGCCTAAGATAAAAACACATGTAAAAACACATGTAAAATAAACTTTGAAATTTACTTTAATCCTTTTAACAACATTTTTTCTTTCAACGTTGGGGACAACAAGAATCTTGACAGTTTGGTGATTGGTTATAAATGTCCTTTGGCCATGACATTCACAGGTAACACCTCTGGGTGATTAGCTCACCTGTTCACAGTTAGGTATCGTAAATGCCCTTTAACAATGGTAGTTAGCAAACCGATTCACATGTGGGATATTTAGGTGTGTAAAATGTGTATTACTGTCTCTCTGCTTGAAGTTACATTGCATGTAGTTGATGGAGGCACGGAATGAGATTTCCATGATTCAGTCTTGAACATTACTGGTGTTTTTGTTTGTCAATTGATGATTTCAACAATACAACATATATTGGTTGATGTCATTACTTGCACTCTTATGCAGATAATATGTAAATATGTAAAGAGTGTGTCAGAATGGGTACACGCAATGAAAAGGATATCGGATAAGTTGTGCCACTATGACGTCACACATCACGTGACCTTGTATCAAGTTCAAAATATGCATATATAGATGGGGCGTCACCTAGCCTGTTTATCATTTGAGTACCGAGAAAGACGGGGTATTCGTGACTACACATATCATTGCATCACATGACCGTTACTAACAATTAACTCAAAACAAGCATGAGTGTGCTGGTCTTTTGTCAATTTTGTTTTCAGATCGGTAATGTAAGTTAACCGACAAGAGCCAGACAGTACCCCGGTACACTTTTATATGGTCACAAAGATGTGAAAATTAAAATCTGTGTGTACCATGTAAAAGTGTAACATGGTACACAAAGATATGAAAATTCATAGACAAATAGATATGAAAAAAGTGTACCACCAGAGCATCGGAATGTTGTTATCGGACACTACATTTATGACCAGAACTGACACCGAATAGTGAAGCCCTAATTACAACGTCAAAACAAGTCGTGACGTTCATTAATCACTTCTGATAAAAAAAAAAAAAAAAAAAAAAACAGTTAGTTGCAATTGTGTAAGTGTTGGGGTCTTGACAGGGTCTCCAAAAGGGATAAAGGACATCTGTATATTGTCGTCATTTCACTTGTTTTGATAGATGTCCAGATTATAAAAGAATCGTACAACTAGCTCATCGTATTTCCAAACTGGTTTTTATAAAAAGGTAGCCTATTTATCCTTCGATTTAATTAAATTGTTTGTCCCTTTTTGCCCCGTCGGCGTTTTCCACAGATTGCAGTTTCTTACATTTGCGAAGTTGAAGCAGATAGAATACATTAGAAATGTAAGTATCGGAAAAATAATCCATATTGACCTCCTTTTAACGTAAAACATTTATAAAATGTTGTATATACTGTCCAATATATGGCTTTATTTCACTTTGAAGAGAATTTCACTTTGAAGAGAAAATGGCGAATGTGTCGGGAGTAAGTAATGTAACCCAACCACCACAACCCCACATTACCCCTGCCGTTAGCTATTTGAATGCTTCACAAGATTCAGTTCATAACTTTAATTGTTTTGTAAGAATGTAATTGAACAAGATATTAATATTTTGACATTTACTGATAGATATTATATCACGATATATAAAAGAGACATTCAATAAAAATGGTATGCTTTCGTCTCTTATTTATAAGACCAGCCGAGACCGAAATTTGGGCCGAAAATTCAGGACTAGACCAGTGCGACCAGACCACTGCAGACAAGTGAAAATTATTGATACTGTCACAATTACACGATGTCTTTCCCTTTGAATCTGGTGAAATTAACCGGCTATGAGGTCATTGGCCTCTTGTTTTTTTATGAAGTTGATATTTATAAGCAATGCATTATTACATGTACTGATCAGAAATACGCAAAATGATTAATGCATTTAGAGAATCATTTGATTACTGATTAGTATTGATTGATTATTGATCAATAAATGATAACTGATCGGTGATGAAATACGCAATGCCCATCCATGGTTGATTATATATAAACTTTATTTATTTTACAACAATTATGAAAATAGTGTTTACAACTTGTATTAATCACTATTGTTGGCCCGGATGTTAGCGTGCGGGGTCTTATTTTTGGAGGAAACCGGAGTAGCCGGAGAAAACCCACGTGATCGGGCAGGTGACCCCATACAGATAAACACCCAGCTGTATGACCAAAACTACAACAGAACTATCCTGTCTGAACTACACTGCGTGTGATTTAAATACATGGGACACGTACATCTATAAAATGGCAATAACACATTTTTACCTGTACAATATAACCGGTACTATATCGAATGTCTTATGGTTGCAGGGTGATTATGTGTGTGTCTGACAAGATGCCGACAACTGCTTCTTTCCCCTGTTATTAAAACTACTTAAAATTGATTATAAAGACGTTTTATTACCTTTACACATTTCACATATTTGATTTGACATAAAAGTTTGGACTTCACTCTGTTATTCAGATGTTGGCCACGCCTTACACGTAGAGTTGCCAGTACGTTATTCATTTTACAGATAGTGTTCTGTATTACACAAAACAAACGGGGTATATCTTTATATAGACTATATTTATTTTACAACAATAACCACTTGTTGGTAAGGACGGAAACGGTAGGAAACCTGAGTACCAGGACACCACGCACGTGGCCTCGCAGGTGACAAAATGGGAATCATTTAAAAGTTTTGTTTTTTAAAAACATTACAGCCACCATTGATTCATTGTTAGAATATTGTACCGATTGTTATCGATTAACGTTTTGCAGACCATACATGTAGCTTACGAGTGTGTGATAGGTCCGTCGTCTTTGTAGGTACCTCGACATATACCGTTACAGACGTTTGGATTTATGTTTTAACTAGGGTAGTCAACGGTTAGCCTGTTAACCGATTACTCGGTTGTCGGGAGACCAAAAACTGGTTACACAAATGAATAGCCGAATAGTCGGATACTTCTGTTTCCCTTTTGGGAGCCAATGTTTCCCTGGCTTATACCTACACATTCTCTATACATGCTAAAACAGTGTTCAGGCTGAAATGTTTGTATTGCTTTTTTACTTTATTTAAAGATGGACAAAGAGATTACCCAAGCAACATAAAACAAACTGGACAGATTTTAAAAGAAAGCCAGAATACAAATTTGACAACCCTAGTTTAAACTCAATTTTGCGACTAGAACTGAAAGAAAACAAGCATGGATTCAACAAGTTGAAGTCCCTTATATTTTATATATGTTTTATTCGCAGTACGATTTACTCAATCATACGCAGGAGTACGTATTTAATATTTCTTTAAAACAGATTATTTCTATTGATCTAGAAAGGCGCATTACTTACTTTCAGTCCGAAAATTGTTGATATATTCCTTGATTAATCCCAGAGCGACGCAGTCTCCATTTTACAGCGTTTGTCATTCAACCGGTTGTCGCAAGAATAGCACTACAGTGCTAATGTTATTATGTTACATGTANTTCCTATAAATACCGTAAATACGCAATTCGGCGTGCGTATGTGCTTGACAACGAATAATCTTTCTAATAGCGTAGCCTTTGTCACTGTATCTGATAATTGAGGTTCGTAATTCTGGAGATAAACGTGAGATCTTCTGCAGTTCTATCATTTGCCTAAGTGAATTGATAAACTGCGTGCGCATCCTAACCCAAAAAGACGGAGTAAGTTAGACGATCGAACTAAACAGCCGGACGGAACAGCCGGACGGAGTAGCCGAACTAAACGACCAAATGAAATAATTGGACGATAGGGACGGTCGAAATAACCGAACGGAACGATTTAGCTGATACGAACGAAACATACGAACGGTGCTCGAACGGTGAACGATCGCTTTCTAGACGCTAGACTACCGCTTACCGCACGCAAGCCGCACGCAGAACGAACTGAACCTAGGTGGATACTTGGGCGTAATTCTAACTGTACCACTACTTACGGCGATAGGTACATAGGTGATCGGTGGAGCGGTGTTAGTGTAGGTGACGGTCTGGTGTACAGGTAACCTACACGGCGCTCCGACAAGCCTCACACGTATACATACGCGGTTGGTTGGTAGCGGAGCTGGCAGAGCGGCGTGGTGACCAGAGACCGCGCATTGTTGTCGCCCGCCACCGCGGTACTAACAACACTGTTGACAGCAGTGTATGCAGCTGCGCCTTTACATATGTATGGTTAACGATACGTTGTANGTTATTATGTTACATGTATATGCGACGTTAAATAAAGCTTCTTCACCCTTGACTCTTAACACACAGGATCAAAATTTAAACTACTACAACTACACAGGGTAAGGTTGTGTACAGATACAATAGTTCAAATAACGCGGCGTCTAATCACTCCACTGTGTGGGAACCGTTACTGAATGAACTTTACTTCCCGTTTGAATAGTATTATATGACAATATTTACGTGTGAGGAATGTTTTCCTTCTATAGATACCATTACATTTGACATTATTCTAACGACGGGTCGCCTGACGACAAGACCATTTCATTTGGGCTTCTCAACACAACAAATGTATATTTTTACGCCTTTAGTTGGTAAGACTTGACTATATAAACGCGTTCAATGATGTAGTTATCTTAATATAATTAGCATAAATGTATCGTGGCAACAGTCGACACAATAAAAAAATATATACTTTTTTTTATTCTTAAGACTACTGCCGTAGTTAACTTCTGAACGCTTGTACGCTACTGAAAACGAGTCGTGTGCGGAACTATGCTTAATGTAGGTTAATGCTTAAGATATGATCTACAAAGCAACGACAAAAATCATTTGAAACTAAAAACACAATTGACCTTTAATGTAAAAATCTTTTGAAAAAAACCCCATTTGAAATCAGATGACGTCGCGCCCGCGATCCCATCGGAATTTATAATGAGTATGGTATATGTTTGCCAAACGCCTTACCTATACAAAGGTGATCAAGGGACCGAGAACTGGACACGTGGTGCTANCGATACGTTGTAGTCAAATAACCACTGTAAATATATTCATGTTGCTTTAGCATGCCCGGGCGGCATGTAGTTGTAGTAAATCCGATACATAGATATATATTGTACTAAGGGGACGGTGTAGATATCTCAAATCCCAGGCAGTGACCTGGTAACGAACCCCCTTACACGTCACAAGAGCAATACAAAGAGAGGCATAAACCCGCATTTTCAATGTGAATATCATCTGTTGAGTGCTATTTGATTGAAAATTGGCCAATTGTAAGGAAGTTAGCTAAACACTCTTCAATTTTTGAAAACCTCCGCATGCACCAAATAAATTAATATTTGACGTGATTACACAATGCCGTACCAGTGTTCATTTGTAGAAAGGAATGTTTGATTGTCACGTGCGGAATCTTTCATTTTTGCATGCTAACTGCCAAAAAACACCATATTCTGGCTATTTCTGCATAGTAACGCTATTGTTCAATTGTGACGTCATTAAAATGTGTCACTGGTAATTGTGACGTCATCAAAAGTGAATGGTGATATCCATACCCCAAATGTGTTTTTGTTTACAAACATGGCAGGCTAACTGTCGGTGAAGTTGTGACTGAAATAATGGTCTTATTTTTGGGGTGACTTTTTTTGGTTGTCTTACCCTAGGTAGAGCCTCAGGTTCGACAACCAAAAAACACCACCCTTCGGATAGGACATTTCTCTGTCACACCCGCAAGGTAGGGGAAGATTCTATTAATCAACAAGGCAACGACAAAACTTAGTATGGTAAGGAAAATATGATTTACTGTTAGGAGAAAATATCACAGATATCATTAAATTTTGATTTTTAAAGACCTGTTTAAATTATACTGACGTAGACTGTAACAGCGTCAACAACTTGAACAGTATGTGGTGCTACAAAACTAACCAACCTTGACAAAATGTACTTTGTAGAAAGAAACTGGACGAACATTATTAAGTGAAAGTAGGAAAAAACCCCAGAAACTATTCTTTAAAATATTGTTTTGGTCCTGAACTTTTGAAAACCTTTCTGAAATTGTGCCTTCTAATGTTTCTGAAAGAAAACGCAATAGGCATGGTAGCTATCTAGCAAATATTAGATGTGTAACTAAGTATAAGAGTACGAGCTTTCTTCTGCCTTAGTTTACTTTCTGTGAAACTGTATTTCTGACGAGGTAAGTAATAATCCTTTCTTATCAATCTTTCAAATTTTCCTTGACCTCAACTCGAGTAGACGTCTCCTGAGTATCAATAATAAACCCGAGACCAAGTCAGATATATCATTAAGACCAGTACACGTTCGCTGTTCCACCTTGGACGCAAACGGTACGGGGAAGTGCTACGCAAACGGTACGGGGAAGTGCTACGCAAACGGTACGGAAATGGTACGCTAGAGCAAGAAAACTCAAATACAGTTCCTAAACACATTATTTTTGTTTGATATTCATCTGATATTTGTTAGATCGTTACCATGCCTAGTGCGTTATAGTTCAGAAATATAAAAAGGTACAAATTCAGAAAGGTTAATAAATCATATTCAACAAATCATTTTAGTTTCTATGTTTGTAAGAGACTGGCATGTCTTCTGTATCCGGTTGCTTGTTGGATCTGATCTAGATTGGAAAGTTTATAGGCGTACGTAGCTTGCTGTCTCACCTGTTGGTTAATCCGATGGTAACTTCAATATCTGGTCAGTTGCCTAGCGCCCTCTGAGTTGACCTCTGATATGCCCTCTGATATGCCCTCACTGGTATCGGTCCTATTGTGACCTACAGCTAACTACATTCTTAAAACCTCTTTCATGGCGCTATATGTACAGTGTACCACTCACTAGTCACTGAACAACAGGCTACTGCCTATTAGATAGGTAAACCGGTGATGTACGATATGGGGGGTCTCGGTAGCCGTGATTACTTACGCACTCAGTCATTACTACTGCAGAAAAAAGTGGTGTCTGATAGGGTTAGATGCTACCCTCCGATGGCACGGTGGGTTTCCCTTATCAGCGTCGTTATAAAAGTTCTAAATAGCTTATGTTTGTTGTTTATAATTTACACGACTTTAAATAAAGATAATTTATTTAGTTACTTATTTATTTATGATTTGTTCCTATTTGAAGCCCTTAAAACACCTGGGTCTGTATTCATGAAACCGTTCGCATCCTCAAAGTAACATTTTGTGCTCCAGCCCAATTTCTTATTCCACTGATAAACCAATGAAAAATCACATTGTGTCAATGATCTGGAAGGATTTGGGAGAGCCTTAGGGATGAATACCATTTTCGATGTTTAAACTTGACGTTTTGACCATGTAACGTGATTTAAAGCCAGTTGCAAGAAAGAAGGTTTGGGCACAGAATCCATGCTTGAGCAGGAGAACGGTTTCATAAATACGGGTCCAGGTTTACAATACAACACACTTTCTAGATTGTCAATATATTAAAATGATGTATTTGATTATTCTAGTTCTGTTGTTCTGTGTATGTGTTGTTTCTGTGACACGAAATCGTAAGAAATATACGTTTGCAAAAATAGCTGGAAATTACAAATATATTTCTAGTCGACTAAAACTTCATTCTTGATTAAGATACAATTCCATCAGATATGGTAACAGTCCTCGCTGATTTCAACAGATTCAAGCAAGATGAGTTTGCAATCAGCAGATGTTTTTTATGGATCCGATACCTTGAGCAAAATGTGTATTAGAATTACTCAAACTGTATAAACCCCAGACTTATCAAATACTTCAGATTTATCTCTGATCATCTTCTAATATTTAAAGTCATGTTGTGTCATCAACTAAATAACCTAGTTTAACTTAAATGATCCTTAAATATACATGTATTTTTAAAAAATAGCAAAGAAAAGCTTTATTGGGACACAATTAAAAATGTCCATTGTTGTCATTTTAAACATCAACCCTGTTGTCCGATTGATTAATTTAATGTAAAAATAATGTTATTTGTCTTTGTAGAAAAATATTAATTCTAATTATATTTTAACTTATATTCATCTTATTATTCAGTTTTAAAAACATGGACATATTTCACATTGAATGAAACCTACTGATATTTAATTTTTGAAAAATGTATAGTCTTAGTAGATGTTAATATGTGATGGATTGAAATGGGGCCAAAAGTCTGGGGGTGATCCCGTCCCTCTTCACTGGTTTTACTTGTAAACTTCCGATTGCAAAAGAAGTCTTCTAAAGCACATTAAACCCGCCAAAAATGCCGTTTGAAGCATTTGTCATGAATGTTTCTAGGAATCTAGACAGTTGTCACTAGAGTTAACCTTCAAATATTAAAGCCATTAGCTCAAAAGTTTAGTAATAACGTATAGTTAATGATTTAGTTGTGTGAGTCCTGAAAGCTCATACAACAGAGTTTTAGTTTTAACAGCACGACGGCAGCGCTCGTCAGTAAGGACTTTCTCGATATGTGTGTAGCATGGAGTCAGGTATTCTGTGGAAGTAGGTGTGTGATAAACCTGTAGCAG